ATACAACTTTCATTTGCGCATTTATAATAAATCTAAGTTTCTAGGTTAGCAATGCTGTAAGCTTTGATTTATTTATCAGTTCTCTGATTTTTGATTTTCACAGTTATATTTGATTTTTTTCTTTCTTGTAAAACCTTTCCTCTGCTCATGTACAGAAAACACCATATTTCATTTATTTTAAAAATAATTGGAGGGACTATATATATATTTAGACATTAAAACTGTGATGTCTTCCCACCATCTTATGGAAGAAATACTGAAATCAACTTTTAGACAATTCTCTCCTAAAAGGGTGCTGACCTGTAGCGGGACTGCTGCATCAGGTTTGGTGGTTCAATCCCCAATCCTGGCCCTACTATTAACACTACTTCTCTCCTATTACTGACCACTGGCTCATGATTGGGTGCTGACCATGATTCTCTCCATTCCTTTAAGATTCAGGGATAGACCATGCCTGCTGTCTCCCATTAAACGTCCTTTAAATGAGACTAAAGTGGGACCCTCCTGCAGAATCATCAGAGGGTGTTAACCATCCCCTTATTAGAGTGTGTTGACTGTCTTATCATAAGTTTGTGTTGAACATCCTATCATAAAAATGTGCTGACACTATCCTTGTAAAAGGATGCTGACAGTCCGATCATTAGAGTGTACTGGTCATATCCTTATTAGTGTACATGCTGAATATTCTATCAAAAGAGTGTGCTAACCATCCTATCTTTAGTGGGTGCTGACCATTCTATCATTAGAGGGTGCTGACCACCCATCTTTAGAGGGTGCTGACCACCCTATCATTAGTGGGTGCTGACCTTCCCATCATTAGAGGGTGCTGACCATCCTATCATTATAGGGTGCTTGACCATCCTATCTTTAAAGGGTGCTGACCATCCTATCTTTAGAGGGTGCTGACCATCCTATAATTATGGGTTGCTGACCATTCTATCTTTAGAGGGTGCTGACCATCCTATCATTAGCTTGTGCTGACCATCCTATCATTAGAGTGTGCTGACCATCCTATCATTAGAGGGTGCTGACCATCCTATCTTTAGAGTGTGCTGACCATCCTATCTTTAGAGGGTGCTGACCATCCTATCTTTAGAGTATGCTAACCATCCTATCTTTAGAGTGTGCTGACCATCCTATCATTAGAGTGTGCTGACCATCCTATCATTAGATGGTGCTGACCATCCTAGCATTAGAGGGTGAAGACCATCCTATCTTTAGAGTGTGCTGACCATCCTATCATTAGATGGTGCTGACCATCCTATCATTAGAGTGTGCTGACCATACTATCATTAGAGTGTGCTGACCATCCTATCATTGGAGTGTGCTGACCATCCTATCATTAGATGGTGCTGACCATCCTATCTTTAGAGTGTGCTGACCATCCTATCATTAGAG